TGCACGTGGTGCACGACCTCCCCGCGCGGCACGGCACCAGCCAGCTCGGACGAGAGGTGGCTTCCTGAAAGGGGTGTGATCGGCGAATCAGCTCCCCCCGCCGGCTTTCACGGGAGGCCTCCCGGACGGGATCGGAGCAGGTGGGGTCGGAAGATCGCGCTGCATCGCCGATACCTCGGCGATGCACCTGGCGATGTGTCGGCGATGCACCGGCGGTGCATCGGCGACGTCGGCGATGCGTCGGCGGCGTCGGCGCGAAGCAGGTCGGGCTCCAGCGCCCCCGGGCGCAAGGGGGTGCCAGTGCGTCGCGGAGAGCGCCCGGGCGGCGGGGCCGAGACCGGCGGCACGCCGCAGATTGCGCGCGCACCCCCTCCCTTGCGGTCAAGAGGTCTTGGGATCAGGAGTGCCTCTGGTTTTTTGGACCAGCGCGCGCCACTGCCCGCAGAGCAGCTGCTCGCAAGCAGCATGGATCCATGGCATCGAGGCAGAGGAGCTCCGTTGCATCGAGCATCCTATGTTTTTTTGGGGGGGACGTCTGCGAGTAGGCGATTTGCCAGCGGAGGAGGAGGGGGGAGGAGGTGGAGGAGGAGGTGGAGGAGGAGGTGGAGGAGGCGGAGGAGGAGGAGGGGGAGGAGGAGGAGGGAGGAGGAGGTGGAGGAGGAGGAGGGGGAGGAGGAGGTGGAGGAGGAGGAGGCGGAGGAGGAGGAGGAGGAGGAGGGGGAGGAGGGGGAGGATGAGGGAGGCGCTTCTCCGTGGCCGGGGCTCGCCGTGGCCTGCAGCGCCCCTTCGCGGAGCGCCCTGCGCTCCTCGTGGCCATCACGAGGGCGGCATCCCCCCAAGAGGAGGGCTCCAAGGAGGGCTCCACGAGGGTATCCAAGAGGGTATCCAAGAGGGCATCCCCCCAAGGAGGGCTCCAAGAGGGCATCCCCCCAAGAGGGTATCCAAGAGGGCATCCCCCCAAGAGGGCTCCAAGAGGGCTCCCAGGGGGTATCACGGTGGCTGCCCACAATGCCACCCCAACCCAACCCGAAGTCGCCGTCGGGCCTGCCGATTTCCAGTGGGGGATCGTTCGGGCACGTCGAGAAACGCATCGTGGAACCCGCACGCCCCCCAACCCGAAATCTGGGGGGGCTGGGGCTGGGACCTTCGGGTTGGGTCTGGGTGGGTCGGTAAGTACGCCCCGTTCCGTGAGAAAGTGGGGGAGATTCTGCTTTTGGGGGGGGGGTCTGATCTGAGCTGTCTCGGAGGGTTTCAGGGGATCTGGGCAAAGGGCCGCCCCTGCATGGCTGGTTTTTTGGGGGGGGGGAGGGGGGGGGGGGGGGGCCCGTCTAGCGGGTGTCAGACCCCCCGTCTTCCGGAATCGCGAGTAGTGGTCACCCGACCCGAACGAGGAAGCGGGAACACCACCCTCGCGGCTGGATGTGGGTCGGGCATGTCCTCCTACAGGCGGATTTGGAGCGAAAAACTAAAAATACAAAAATGCTCAGAGATGGTCGAAAGTAGCCCAAACATCGTCCCCAGACTAGTTTTTGTCCGTCCTTGCAGTATTCCTCCTGTAGGGTGACGTGCCCGTCGTAAGAATAGTGTTGGGTCGGGCCTGTCCTCCTACAGGGCGATTTTTGACAAGAATCATGAATAGTCAAATTACCCTGGCGACGTACCCAACCCCTGCGCAAAAGCGGGGCGCAAATAGTTTAGGATACTTTATAAGGGGGCGATGACGGAGCGAGGGTTACATATGTCTGCAGACGGAATTCGGGAGACTCGCAGGGACACTGGCTACAGGAAAAGGGCTGATAAAGCTGATGATTTACAATTCCTGAGCATCCTAGCCACTTCGAAACGGGGATCACAGCAGGCCTCGAAAGTGGCGACAGGTCACAGATCGCAGCCGCAGGGGACGCGAGGGTCTAATTTGGGTCCGTCCGTGGCCCTCACTGGCTGGCTGGCCCCCAGCAGGCCTCGAAAGTGGCGACAGTTTCACAGATCGCAGCCCCCCAGGGATGGCGAGGTCTAATTTGGGTCCGTCCGTGGCGTCACTGTGCTGGGCCCCCCAGCAGGCCTCGAAAGTGGCGACAGTTTCACAGATCGCAGCCCCCCAGGGATGGCGAGGTCTAATTTGGGTCCGCGCGTGGCGTCACTGTGCTGGGCCCCCCAGCAGGCCTCGAAAGTGGCGACAGTTTCACAGAACGCAGCCACCAGGGGATGGCGAGGTCTCATTTGGGTCGCCCCTGGCCTCACTGTGTGGGCCCCAGCAGGCCCCCCCCCCCCCCCCCCCCCAAAAGTGGCGACAGGTTCGCGATCGCAGCCCCCCAGGGATGCGAGGGTCTAATTGAATCCGCGCGGTGGCCCTCACTGTGCTGGGCCCCCCAGCAGGGCCTCGAAAATGGCGACAGTTTCGCAGATCGCAGCCCCCCAGGGATGGCGAGGTCTAATTTGGGTCCGCCCGTGGCCCTCACTGTGCTGGGCCCCCCAGCAGGCCTCGAAAGTGGCGACAGTTTCGCAGATCGCAGCCCCCCAGGGATGGCGAGGTCTAATTTGAATCTGCGCGTGGGCCCTCACTGTGCTGGGCCCCCCAGCAGGCCTCGAAAATGGCGACAGTTTCGCAGATCGCAGCCCCCCAGGGATGGCGAGGTCTAATTTGATCCGCGGTGGGCCCCACTGTGCTGGGCCCCCAGCAGGCCTCGAAAGCGCACAGTTTCGCAGATCGCAGCCCCCCAGGGACGGCGAGGTCTAATTTGAATCCGCCCCGTGGCCCTCACTGTGCTGGGCCCCCCCCCAGCAGGCCTCGAAAATGGCAACAGTTTCGCAGATCGCGGCCCCCCCCAGGGATGGCGAGGTCTAATTTGGTCCGCGCGTGGCCCTCACTGTGCTGGGCCCCCCAGCAGGCCTCGAAAGTGGCGACAGTTTCACAGATCGCAGCCCCCCAGGGATGGCGAGGTCTAATTTGAATCCGCGCGTGGCCCTCACTGTGCTGGGCCCCCCAGCAGGCCTCGAAAGTGGCGACAGTTTCACAGATCGCAGCCCCCCAGGGATGGCGAGGTCTAATTTGAATCCGCCGTGGCCCTCACTGTGCTGGCCCCCCAGCAGGCCTCGAAAATGGCGACAGTTTCGCAGATCGCAGCCCCCCAGGGATGGCGAGGTCTAATTTGAATCCGCGCGTGGCCCTCACTGTGCTGGGCCCCCCAGCAGGCCTCGAAAATGGCGACAGTTTCGCAGATCGCAGCCCCCCAGGGATGGCGAGGTCTAATTTGAATCCGCCCGTGGCCCTCACTGTGCTGGGCCCCCCAGCAGGCCTCGAAAATGGCGACAGTTTCGCAGATCGCAGCCCCCCGCAGGCAAGACAGGAAAAGGCGGGAGGCGGGAGAAGGGACGCGACCACACTGCTCTATTCAAAACGAATACCCAACCAAGGAGGGTTGGGAAAAATACCCCGACGCCGCCAAAAGTAGTCACACCATCCTCCCCAGGCTAGTTGTTGGTCCATCCTTGCAATATAAATCCTGTAGAGGGACGTGCCCAACGTAAGAATAGTGTTAGGTCCTGCCTGTCCCCCTACAGCGTTTTTTGGGGGGCGAAGAATTACAAATATTTCAAAAATGTTTCAACAATTCTCACCGATAATCAAAAAAACATCACCTGGCTAGTTATTTTTGAAACTATGTTTGAAGATCCCTCCTGTAGAGGGACAGGCCCGACTTAGAAGTAGTCAAGCATGCTCGAAGATGGTCAACAACAGTCAGAACATCGTCCCAAGACTAGTTTCGTCTATCCTTGCAACCTTCCTCCTGTAGAGGGACGTTCCCGACGTAAGAGTAGTGTTAGGTCGGGCCTGTCCCCCCTACAGGCGGGATTTCAGCGAAAACTTAAAAATACCCCAGTGCTCAAAAATGGTCAAAAAAAAAACGTCCCCATGCTAGTGGTTGCTTATCCTTGTAGTATTCCTCCTGTAGAGGGACGTGCCCGACGTAAGAGTAGTGACCACCGGACTCGAGCAGGGCAGCGGGTCGGGGATCTTCTGACCTGGGTCAATCCAGACCCGGGTCAGCCAGGCCTTGCAGCATCCTGCAAGATCCCGCAAGACCCTGCGCCCATGCCCGGGCCAATGCGAAAGACCCTGCAGGATCCTGCAGGACCCTGCACCCAAGCCTGGGTCACTGCGGCCCTGGCCGTGCAGGATCCTGCAAGGTCGGCCACTCTGGCTGACCCCCGCTTGCACTGGCCGCCGTCGCAAGGCTCCCGAGGGCGGCGGAGAGGCCACACGCCAGCGCCGAGAACACCCTCGGGGGCGCGCGCGGCCGCGGGCGCCTGCCCAGCTCTCGCGCCCTGGCCGTAGGTCGGGCATGTCCCCCTGCAGGCGAATGTTGGGCAAAAAATTGAAAAGATTCCAAACAGTATTTAGACAATGATCCAACAATAATCAAAACATCGTCCCCAGGCTATCTGTAAGATATTTTTGAAGGTCCCTCCGGTAGGGGGGCAGGCCCGACTTAACCCTGGCCACTGAAGCCCAAGCCAGGACGAGGGTAAAATCGAATGAAGATCATGGAGGAAGGAAAGACGGCCTGGGCAGAAGCTTCTGTCACTCCGCGCGGATAGATTGGATCTGCGCCGTACCCCCCTCCCTGGCGCGCGGAGCGCGCCAGGGGCGGCGCCGGAGGCGCCGCGGGGGGGGGGCCCAGCGCGGATCCAAGATATCCGCGCGGGGCGCCAAAAGTCTATGTGTTGAGCCGTTTTTTCTTCTTACAGATAAATCGAGAATCTCTGAGATCCAGCGGCTCTGGAGGACGGAGTGGGCGCCGCGGACTTCTGAGAGTGTTCCGGAACGCTCTGAGAGCGTGCCGGAGCGCGATGCGACGGAGTTATCCTCGTCCCAGCCCCGTCCGACCAGTCGCGTCTCGTGCATCCAGCCTCCAGGCAGAACATGCACATCCTGACCAGTCCCCGATCCGCTCGTATGACAACCAAGCCAGACAATCCGAGCATGTCGGCGCAGCACTTTTTGTCAACATATGTCGGGCCAGCGGTTCGTGCCAGACTGACGACTGACGATGTGCGTACAGAAGTCGGCGGCGCGCCGAGGGGGGAAGTGAGAGGAGGCGGGCCTTCGCAGAAGGCGGCGGGGCTGCTCAGAAGCCCCCCTGGCTTCCTGGGAAGCCCTTCGAGGCTTCGGAGAAGGCTCGGAGAGCTCCCTGGAGGGCCAGCGGCCCTCGGAGCCTTCCGAGGAAGACCCGCCCCCTCTGCCTTCCCTGGACGCGCCGCCGAAACAGGGTGCGCGGCGAGGCACGCGAAGCCGCCTCGATGTTGACCGCCACCGCTTCCGGGCGGGAGCCGGGCGATGCCGGGCGGCCCGTGAGGCGGCCTGCAGCGAGGAGGCGCGCGGCATGGCCTGGCCCTGGAAGCGACGAAGCGGCCTCGCCGCCCCGCGGGGGGGGGGGACCGACGTCGGCGCCACCGAGCTCTCTCCCGAGGGCCGGCCAGGTCCCGGGCAGGGCGTGGTCGCCCGCGGCCCGCCGGCCGAGCAGGCGGGCCGAGGCCGCGGCCGCGGCCGAGGCCCGAGCGAGGAGCGCTGCCGCTCAGCAAATCGACCGAGGCGAGCCGACCGAGCGGCAGCCGACGGCGGCGCGGCCGACGCGGGCGGCTGCGGTCGGGAAGGCGTCCCCCGGCGCGTCGCGGCGGCGGCCCCTGCGGCACGCTGTGCCTCTGCGGGCGGATGGCGTGCCGCTCCGCTCCACGTGGCGGGGGGCTGGGAGAACTCCCAGAGGCTGACCCTCGGAGACTGGGGCGTCCTCCTCCTCCTCCTCCCCCTCCTCCTCCTCCTCCTCGCCCTCCTCCCCCTCCTCCTCCTCCTCTCCTCCTCCTCCTCCTCCTCCTCCCTCCTCCTCCTCCTCTCCTCCTCCTCCTCCTCCTCCTCCTCCTCCTCCTCCTCGGCCAGCGTGTCGCGCCGCGGCGTGGTGCCGGGACCCGCGGCGCGACACGCCGAGCAAAAGCTCCTGACCGTCGTCGCGGGTATCCCTGGAGAGGCCCAAGGCGATGGCAATGCTGGGCGACCTCTTTTCCCATCCCTCGCTTGCCCGCCGCGACTGCACGGGGCCTGCGGCACAGCAGGGCCAGAGCCACATCACACGCTGATCTCGGCCCGTGCGCCGCGATCCGCAGCGGCCAGGCGCGCCACGCGCTCGCCCAGGCGGCGGCCCGCGTCGGCAAAGAGGGCGTGCACGGTGCCTGGCGCCGTGTCGTTGAAGGGCGGGTCGCCCGTGGCGGCCCCCACGCCGAGCGGGAAGTGCGGCTGGAAATCGCGCTCCGCCGTGACCACCCTCATGCCGAACACGTGGAAGAAGTTGGCGATGCTGGCCAGGGTCATCTCCATCCCTCCCCAGAGATGCCCGCCGGTCACGAACGGCGCGCCGATCTTCGCGTGCAGGTCAGCGTGCAGGTAGTCCCATGTGTCGAGCCACGCCTTCGCCGGGGCCGCAATGTTCGCGTTGTGCACCGGGCTCCCAAAGAGCACCGCGTCCGCCCACCTGACATCGGCATCGAAGGATGCGTTCACGATCGGAAGTAAGCGGCACTCCGCACCTCCTGCAATGGCGCCCTGGTGCACCGCCTGTGCCAGCGCCCGCGTGTGGTTTGACTGCGAGTAATAGGCGACCAGCACCTTGGCCGACGACCCTTGCGCAGGCAGCGCCGTCATCGTCAACGGCGCCAGGATGCACACCAGCGTGGCGCGCCCAAAACCGTGCGCCATGCCGCTCTGAGCAATTATTATCCTACTGCGCCCACTGTATCTGCCGTGCTGTGCCCGTCCGCGAAACTTGGCCAGTCGATGCCATCTTGGCCCCTCGAGCCAGGGAGGAAGAGGAGGGAACCCAAACACTACGATTAGGTCGGGCCTGTCCCCTGCAGGCGGATTTGGGGCGAAAGATGAAAAACATTCAAACAAATATTCCAAAATTGATCCAAAATACTCCAAAAATCCTCCCTCGACTATTTTTTACTAATTTTTGAATATTCCCCCTGTAGAACTAAACCTACGAGGCCCGACTTAAAACTACGAACATTGACCTTACGAGGCCCGCGCAGACCGCCTGGGCCCGCGCTGGAGAGCCGTGCCCCCGCGCACACACACACACACACACACACACACACACACACACACACACACACGGGGGGGGGGGGACAGCGCCTCCGACGCCGCCCCCGGCGCGAGGACCTCCGGGGGTCAGGATCCGGGGCGAAGCTAAGACACACACCAGCTTGGCGGCGCGCACAAGGGGGCTGGAGGGTGGGGGGAGGCCTTCTCAGAAGGAGGCTGCTTCCAAGAAGCCCTCCCCCGTCCCCCCACCCCCCCTCTGCGCGTGGCTGACCAGTGACGACGACGACGACGACGACGACGACGACAACGAGGACGACGACGACGAGGACAAGAACGAGGACGACGACGACGACGACGACGACGAGGACAAGGACGACGACGACGACAACGACCACGACGACGACGACGAGCAGCGCCAGCCTGATCCTGCCGCGAGACGACCTCGTGGGCCGCCTCGTGGGCGCGATGGCCGTGGCCGCGGTGCGCGCGGTGGTGGATGTGGCGGTGGCTGCGCAGGGCGTGCCCGGCGTGGTGGCGGCCCTGGGCGCCGGGGGGGCGTCTGCGGCGGGCCCAGCGAGCTTCGGCCCCGCTCTCGCCCTCCTCCTCTCCTTGGCTGGGCTTCCTTTTCACAGATCTCCGCACTCAGCTCGGCATCAGCCACTCGCCCTCCTCCTCCTCTTCTTGCGGATTTGTTTTTGTCTTTGAGGGCAGGGCGCGAGAACACGGACCTCCGCACTCAGCTCGGCATCAGCCAGGGTGCAAAAGTTGAGAAAAGCCGCCGGGCCAACTCGGAGGGCCACCCGAGCCGACCTGCAGCAGGCAAGCCCATGCAATGAAGCATGGCCTGAGAGAAAGCGATCGGCCCCTCTGTCCTGGGAGGCCTTCGGAGGACCTCTGGGGGCCCATGGGGCCTCCTGGGACGTCTGGAGGCCTGGGGCGGAAACAAAACTTACCATAGCATGCTAATCCCACCAGCCCTTTGAGAGCAGGTGGTCTAACGAAGCCATTATTTCCTCTTCCGAAGTCCTCTTCCCTTCGGAAATAAAACCCTCCCCCTCCCCCCCAGCTTTTTCGGGGGGGGCACGATGTGTCAGAGTGTCCGTTTTTCGCCCAAGATGGCTCCAAGAGGGCATATGATGCTCCAAGAGGGCCTCCAAGGCCGCTCAAGATAGCCGAAGACGGTTAAAGTTAGCTTCCGAAACATCTCCAAGAGGTCCGACGAGGGCCACAAGACGGTTCCAAGTGCTGTCGGAGCCTCCTCGGGACCTCCCCAACAGGCCAAAATCATTCAACTACCCAGGGAACATGAATGAGTTGTGCCTTCCCGTCGGTTCGCTTCCGATACGTTTTGAGGCCTGCGGATGACCCCAAGATGGCCCAAGAGAGCCATCTGAGGGGCCCAAGAGACCCCCCAGAGGGCCCTAAGAGCGCCCAAGAGCGACCCAAGAGCGCCCCCAGAGGGCCCCGAGAGACGATGTTGATGGCCCCAGGGGTGGGGACGGAAATCAGGACCCCCTCCCCTTTGATCGACAGCCTCCAAGATGGCCTCAGAAGGCCCTCCAGGGCTCCCAAGAGGGCCCCAAGAAAGCTCCAAGAGGGCCCAAAGATGGCCCCAAGACGGTCCAAAGAGCGCCCCAAGAGCGTCCCGCGAGAGCCCCAAGAGGCGGTGTGCCTCCACCTCAATCTCATCTCCCTCCTCCTCCTCCTACTCCTCCTCCTCCTCCTCCTCCTCCTCCTCCTCCTCCTCCTCCTCCTCCTCCTCCTCCTCCTCCTCCTCCTTCCCCTCCTCCTTCTCCTCCGCTTCTTCCTCCTCCCCCCCGCGGGCCCCAGGGATGGCCCGAAGAGGCCCTCCAAAGCCACCCCCTTGCCCCCAGAAATGTCTTAGTTCATCTCGGTTGCCCGTTTGGTTTCACTGTATGTGTCTCTTCGCCACTTTTCCAACCAGCTCTCATGGGAAGGGTTTCTGAGCGGACTGGTGAGTACACACCAAGCGCGAGGATTCACCCTCCTCATCCTCACCCTCCTCCACCACCACCACCACCACCACCACCTCATCCTCCTCCATCTCGCTGATCCCTCCTCATTAAAGAAACCCCCTCTGTCGCACCATCCGACACGTCGCTGGGGCGGGCCAGGCGTGTCGCCTGGGACTTCCCCACAACGAACGACCTCGAAGCTGGAACCTTCCGACCGTAAAACCCAACGGAGCAGAAGTCAACTTCAACACGGGGCTCCCGTCTTGGTGCCGCGCACACTCGTCTTAAGCATGTCCAACGGCTACACGGATAGAGGGGGTGTCGTTTTCACAACAGGGTTCTTGGCCTGGCGCCGCGCACACTAGTCTTAAAAGATATCAGCAGTTACATGGATGGAGGGCAAGTGGTTTTCGAAATGGGCCTCTTGTCTCAGAGTCGCGCACAGATGTCTTAAAAGCTTGCAGCAGCTAGCTTACAGCAGCTGCACGAATATAGGGCTGCCCGATTTCACAGCGGACACTCCGCTTGAGAAGCCCTTGGGCAATTACACAGATTGATGGCGGCGCCGTGTTTTGGACAGGGGCTATCGCCTGAGACTTTCGCGGGTTGTACGACAGGGGCTATGGCATTGTGCAACGCTCATACGGATGGATGACATACCTTTTTTCAAGGCGGAGCGTCGCTGCACACTTCATCGAATGTCCTGGCCCTATCTCTTCCTGCCTTTTCTTGTAGGTAGAGAAGAATGGAAGGTGGATCCCTTGCAACACGCGGTCTCGCCTGGATGGCATGCCTGGGGGGCGCTCGTCTGTCAAGGGGGGGGGGGCGCCTCCCGCGGCGGAAAAAGAACTCGAGGAGCGGGCATGGGACCCGAGGGTGCCGTGCAGCACCGTTAGTGCATACTGGGACTGCTCGGGTCCCAGTCTCCTCCCCCTCCCCTTCCCCTCCCCCCTCCTCCTTCCCCAGCCCCTCCTCCTCCTTCCTCCTCCTCCTCCTCATCATCATCATCATCATCATCATCATCATCATCATCATCATCATCATCATCATCATCTACATCATCATCTTCAGCAGCAGCAGCAGCAGCAGCGCAGCAGCTTCATCATCATCATCATCATCATCATCATCATCATCATCATCACCAACATCATCATCAGCATCATCAGCATCATCATCGTCGGTATCATCAGACTCATCATCATCCTCGTCATCATCATCATCCTCATCATAACTCCACGCTTCCAACTCCTGTTCCCCCATCCTCCTCCGGCCGCTCCTGCTCTCGTCCATTGCATTTCCTGATAGATCACTCCTCCCTGTCGCACCCCGAGGCCGGTCGAAAGGGCGGGCCGGGCGTTTCACCCGAGACTTCCTTGCCACGTACGACCCTGAATCTTGAACTGTGCAACCATTTGGCGGATGGAGGGAGGGTTGCTTTCAAGATGCCCGTCTTAAAAAGTTACAAGGACTTCACTGGTGGAGAACGTGTCGGTTTCAAAATATGGTTCTCTCGCCTTTGGGCCGCGCACACTCGTCTTAAAAACGTGCCAAGAAGTTTCACGAACGGAGGACGGGTCGTGTTCAACATGCGGTTCTCGCCTCCACGCCGCGCACATTCGTCTTAGAAATATGGAGGGCGACAGATTTTGAAAATGTGGCGTTCGCCTTAGCGCCAGCGACGCGCACATTCGTTTAAAGAGTTTACAACATCTTCAAGGAGTCGCATGGCTAATGTTCCAGAAAATGCGTGTTGGCACGATGTCGGATTGTCAGGGCGCAACAGTTACGTTGATTCGTGCTTTTGAAGTCCCAGCCATGGTGATCTGGCACGATTCAGGACCGTACAGGCGCAGCAGTCAAAGGAGATTCGCGCCGTTAAAGACCCAGGAACGGCATTTTGGCCCAACGGGGCACTTCCTTCAGTGAAAATGAACCTTTTGTGGAGGCCTATCAAGAACGAGCTTGGAGGGAGGGTGTGTTGCTAGATCGTCGACGGGTTTTGGGCTCACACTGGTCCTCCTCCTACTCTTCATTCTCCTGCTCCCCCCCTGTTGCTGCTTCGGCCGCCATGAACGCTCTCGCCCGAGGAAGGGGTTCAGAGAGAGAGAGAGAGAGCACGTACAATCCCCTACCGCTTTCCGCGTCGGCTGCTGCTGCTGCTCCTCTTGAGCAGGGACCGACCGCCCCGGCATTCCTATAGTCCTACCACGACATGCCCTTAGAACCCCAAAATGTTCTGAGAACCAAAACAATGTTCTTAGAACATAAACCCGATGCGTTAAAACAAGACAGTCCCAGCCAGAAACGTTCTGAGAACATCTCGTGGAAACCACAGAAGGTTCTTAGAACACTGTTCGGCAGGGCCATAGGCGAGCCAGGACTCTTCGCCACTGCTGGATCCCCTCGGCCGGCCGACACTCACCATACATACGCCTGCTAGCCTCGAGCCAATAGCGCTGGCCTCGGGCACCTGCGTGCCCCCTGCCGCCCAGGGTCACGGTGGGCAGGGTCCACACGAAAAAAGGTGCTCCGCGCCCTTCGCCTCCGCACCCCGGCGCTGCCGTGGCCGCCAGAGACGTGCGGTTGCTGAGCAAATCGGCATCACACCCACCTCGCGGCGGTGACCCTGTGAGCACCACGGCTAAGGGTCGCCACAGCCGTGCAGCCGCGCAGCGTGCACCGGAGGAGCGCCTGGCCAGCTGCGAACACTAGGCAAGGACGTGGAGGAGGAGAAAGAGGAGGGAGGATGAAGGAAAAGGAGGAGGCGGAGGAGGAGGAGAGGAGGAGGGAGGAAGAGGAGGAGGAGGAGGAGGAGGAGAGGAGGAGG